GATAGAACTTTTGGGGTTTAACTCCGTTAACTTCTATTTATCTTATTCCTCCCACCTTCTTCTCTTTCATGTTCACCTTTTTAAATTTTGTTCATATTTTTTCTTCCCACCTTAATCTTCTTCCTCTAATTTCTACCCACTTTAATTATCTCTTTCAAATTAGTTCCACTCCATTTCCGCCGGTTTTACCATCGAAATTAAACGAAAACCCTAATAAAAAAAAAGGAGCAAATAAAGAAATGGTTAATCCTAAAGGGTGGCTAAGTTTTCTTTCCTCCATTGAATTCGACTTAGCACCACATTTTCAACGAAAAGCCGAATAACAAAATAATTATAAAGGATAGATAAGCTTTTCTTTATCCATTGATTTTGACTTGTTTGATGTCGTAGTGAAAAGGTGTATTTTCCACCATTATAATTTATGGTTAAAGAAGGAGAGATAAACAGGAAAAAGTTGAAGGATGAGAGAAAAAGTTAGATAATATCAAAAGGTTGAAGGAGGTGAGAGAAAATCATATAAAATCAAAATGTTAAAACAGGTGAGAGAAAACAGAAATTTACCAAAATTAGATGTAATTTACATAAATTGTTTATAAATGTTATAAATTTGTATTTTCTCAATTCAAACATTTGTGATACTTTGACGAAAATACATGTTAACATATAATTATACCAATAATATGCAATTTTATTTAAATTATAATGTCATTTAGAAAATTTATATGTAAAAACATACATTAACACTTTTATTTATTTATTTATTTTTTATACAAGAAAAATATACATTAAGACTAAAGATGGAGGGTGTAATTATTTTTAGAGTTCATGCTGTAAGTATAAAACGATCGTTCTATTGTCTACAAAGGATCGTTATATTATCTCTTTAATAAAGCTGTATTTTCCAGCCACATAAGCGGGAGATGTTCCATATTGAAAGATCTTCTCGACTAGGGGTGTATATAAACAAGATCGGATCTGAAAAACGACCAGAACCGGACTTGACCTGCGCGGACCTATAGATTCAGGTCTGGTCCCGGTCCAGATCATGTCTAAAACCGGGGTTTTCAGGTCCGGACTTGAAACCCGGTAAAATTGTATTTTAGTAAAAATTAAAAAAAAAAATTCAAAAATCAAAACAACAAATCAGTTTTCATTTTTAAACCCTAAATCCCTCACACTCTCTCTCTTAGCCGACAACCACTCACTCACTAGATCACTCTCCTCAGGCGACCACCACTACCATACACCGGCCAGGCGCTCATCGCCCACCAACGGTAGCGCAAAACCACCACCCTACGCTGCACCAACCACCAGCATGAAAACCCCTTCACGCTGCACCAACCACCAATGTGAAACCCCCCGCCTACTACACTAGCCACTAGCGTGAAACCCCCATGCACGTCGCTACACCAGCCACCAGCACAAAACTCCCTGCACGCCGCTACACTAGCCAGTAGCACGAAAACCCCCTACAAGTTGCACCACCAATCAGCGAGTGCCCGACAACACCTGCTCCCTAAGCCAACAGCCACCAGTGACCCTCATGAGGTGATGCGACAACTGATAGTTCAGCCACCGACGTCCGTCGCGCGATAACCCTTGCTCCGGTCCATATACAAGTCTAGCAGGCTATTTATATATATACTACGTATATTTTTTTTAAAAAAAGAAAAAGAAAAAAAAATCATGAATCAGGTTTATTCAGGTCCAAACCTGGATTGGACCTGATTGTTCATATCTTACCCGAAACCGGGCCTGTTGATTCACGTTCGATCTCCGATCCTCTAAATTCACCGATTTAGGTCCCGGTCCATTCAGGTCCGGTCCGGTTTTAGACCGGTGTACAACCCTATTCTCAACAATCGTAGTATTTATAAAGGAAAATTTTATTTGATTCAATATTTTATGTATTTGTTAACGTCGAATCTCTATTATAGATGTCGTAGAACTTATAATTAATGAAATATTTTTGCTGTTCAAAAAAAACAAAAAAAAAATCGATGAAATAGCTTACCTTCCACCTTTGACTCTTGTATATTTTATTTTATTACTTCTTACACGGGTACTCCTTATCTTTTTTATATGGTTGAAAATCATGTACTTCCGTAGACTATGTAATTTTTTATACTATTTTTATTTTTTTAACAGCCACTACGTAACTTGGATTTGATGCTTTAATCAAGGCTTCTTTCTTACGGAGTAGTGGAGTACTCTGTACTTTCTATTTTCTATGAATTTTCCACCAAAGTCAAGTGGTCAATCTTTTGTTAAGCAAACAAGTCATGACGTAGCAGAAAAAGTAACAATAATAGAACAAACATGAACCCCAAGGCCCGGGATGAGACTAGAGGTATCAATTCGGATAACCGAATGGAGTTTAGGTCGGGTCTATTCGGATTGGATAAATTCAGGTCCAAATTATTCTTTTAACTTGGATCGGGTCGAGTCGGGTCAAATTCGGGTCGGATCAAATTCTGGTTATGGTCAATCGCTTCCGGGTCGGATATGGGTCGGGTCAACTCCAGATTGGTTCACTACTTTCGATTAGGATAAATCGGATCGGGTTCAAAACGGGTTTAACCGGGTTATTTTGGGTTGGATGGATTTGCATGGGTCAGGTTAATTTTGGGTCTTAATCTGCAACTTTTGTGGGCTTCTAAACCATATAAACCAAACTGAAATATCATATTCATCAACATACCAGTAGCATAATAGGAATAAAACAACATTAACAAGTTCTAATTCAAAGTTACAAGGCAATATGATAAAAAAAAAAAAAAAAAAAAAAGCAACACTCCATACCCAAAAAAAAAAAAAAAAAAAAAAAAATTGTTCAACGTTACAAAAAATAAAATTCAGTTTGGTTTTGGTTTTTCAAATCTCAAACCGAAACCCAAACACTTCTATTCGATTTTTGGATTTTACAAACAACCACATTTGAAAAAAACTGAATCATATTTCTAATTCTATTTGGTTTGCAGTTTGGTTCGATTTTAAATAAAAATTATTTCACCCCTAAGTGTAACATTGCTTAAAACACAAAGGGGGTAATTCAACCAATACTTTAAATTTTGTTTATGTTCAATAGCTTAATCTGGAAGGGTAGTTTTTGGCAGCACTGTTTATATATACCTAGACATACTTAGAGGTAAGTGCATCAAAGGGTTTTTTTTTTTTAATTGTTCAGTGTACCCTTGAGGTTTTTTAAATGAAATTGTTTTGAATTTTTTAAAAGGAAATTGTTCAGTGTACCCTTGAGGTTTTAAAAATGCACCGTGTACCTTTGAAAACTTTAAAATGCACCATGTATCCTTGAGGTTTGTAAAAAAATGCTCCACATACCCTGATCGTCTTACAAATGCACATATCATTGACTTATCAAACTAAAATTATGCCCACATACTGACTCATTTTTAGTACTTTATATTTATGGAGTAAAGCCGCTTAGAAGCATAAATTATATCAAAATTTAAACTTCATCGATCATTCTAGATCCTAAACTTTAAGGTGTTAGAATTTGAGTTATCAATTAAGTTTGCTTGATAATTAAATGCTTTAGCATTACTAGAGCTGTCAAAAGCTGACTCAACCTGACATACTGACCCGAACCCGATTGTTCACTGACCCATCTAAACCCGAAAAAATAGTGACCCAAACTCGACCTGAAACCAACCCTAGACCCAAGTTGACCCGAGTATGTGAGACCCAACCCGAATATGAACCTACCCGGAGATGACCCAACCCGAATGTAACCCGTAAAATTATTGACCTGAACCGAACCCGACTTGAACCGAAATTGACCCAAACTCGTTTTAACCCGTCAAAACCCGAATTTAACCCGACTTGAATTCCCGACTCATCTCTAACTTGACTCGAATTTAATCCGACCTGTTACAAACTTGACTCGAAACCAACCTAACTTGTTATTGAGCCGACTCAAATTCAACCCGACTTGTTATTGATCCGATTCGAATTTTACCCGACCTATTACTAACCCGACCCAAAAATATAACCCGATCTGTTACTAACCCGACTCGAAATCAACATGACTTGTTATTGCCCTGACCTAAATTCAACCCTAATTGTTCCTGACTCGATTTCAAATCACCTTAAATTCAATTTAGACCACCTTACAATTGTTGATCAAAGCATTTTGTCTAGGGAGACCAAGTTGGTCCAGGCTAGCAAAATAAAGGAGCATCATCCCTAAATATAAGAGTTAAATATAGTATATATTTGTTATATGATCAAAGGAGATAATTATCTTCCTAAATTATAGACTATAGTTCCCTAGTATATTGCCATATATATTAAAGTCAAAGGAAATAATTAGCTTGGTAAAAATGATAATTATCTATTTATAGTTAGTTGAACCCGAATATGACCCGATCTGATTGTAACCCGCAAATTATTGACTTGAACCGAACCCGACTTGAACTCGAGTATGACCCAACTTGAAAATGACCCGACCTGATTATAACCCGCAAATTATTGACTTGAACCGAACCCGACTCAAACCCAAGAATGACCCGACCTGATTCTAACCCGCAGAATATTGACTTGAACCCAACCCGGCTCAAACCCGAGAATTAACCTAACGCGTTTTAACCCGTGAAAACCCGAATTAAACCCGACCTATTGTTCACCCGACCCAAATGTAACCCGATATGTTATTAACCCGAACTAAACCCGACCCAAACCCGTTAAGATGTATGACCCGACGTGACCCGACTCAAGCATGAATGACCCAACCCGACCCACAAAGGTTACGACATTAACTCATATTGACCCGACCCGAGTTGACCCAACCCAAACCACTCTTACCCGAATCCGAACCCGACCCGTTTACCTGAATTGACAGCTCTAAGCATTATTCTAGCATTACACTATAACAATTTAATAGAATTTGATGCTTACAGCCTATATGGGGTCTTAATTTAACAAAATTATCATTTGTTATATGAGTCTAGGGGTATTTGGCGCAAATTCTTACAAACCTCAGGGTACACGGTGTATTTGAAAATTTTCAGAAGTACACTGTGCATTCGTTAAAACCTTAAAGGTATACAGAATAATTTTTTTTTTTTTAATTTTAAGATTTAAATAAGTAAAAATAAAGAAGAAGAAAATACTTTTGGTTGTAACTTGCAGCAGTGTGTAAATTAATTTTTTTGTCCCTTGGTGGAGGAGTTCCGTCTTTCCATTGTGTGCTTTTTTTTTTTTTTTGAGGAGTTCCATTGTGTTTATGTTCTATTATTTTGTTTTTCGTTTTCATTTTTGTTTCATTATCTATTTTTATTACTATCTTGTTTTGAAAGAAATAGACAAAAGGATAATCTAATGGGTTAGGAGAAAAGTGGTCCATAACAAAAGTCTACCTCATATTATTGACTTGCTTAACGCGACATACTTCCACAACATACATAGGAAACTTCCAAGTTCGTCTTAGATACATTTCTTATACGAATCCTAAATTATTAAGTAATTTATCATCACAAATTTCAACCTATTTTGCTCCAACCTTCTAATCCAACTTCAAAGCAAAATCCATGAACTTTCCTTGCACCTAAACCATCTTCATGATCTTTTCTAACCCTTTAAAAAGTTCATCATCCTATTATATATATTTAGATCAAGCCATGCCTATTTTCCATCATCCATCAAACAATTTGCGAATTTCCTCCATGCTAGCAAAGCTGTAATATTCGATAAACAAGTTAATATTTTTACAATGGAGAAGGCATCATCATCATCATCATCTTACAACACACTTTCCTCAAATTTCCTTGATTTAATTTTCCTACATGTTATTTTTGACTTGAAACATAACTTGTCAAATTTCTTCACGAGTTCTTGGTCACTTTTCCATGCAAAGTTTCATTTCTTCAACTCTTCTGAGGCCGTCATGTTTGAGCCAAAGAGCAACAACATTATTGTAGGGAAGCAATCTTCGATTAGCTCTAACGATGTAGTATCTATTGATCATGATGATGATTGCTTGTTTGGACGCGATATAGACATGATCATGGAAATACTTGGAATTCAACATTGTTTTGAAGGAGAAGAGCTTCAAAAGAAGTGGGGTTGTAAAGAATTATCTAATATATTCGAAGATGAACCAAGTTTGGAAGAGGTAAAAGAAGCTTTCGATGTATTTGATCAAAATAAAGATGGGTTTATAGATGCAGGGGAATTACAGAGAGTGCTATGTGTTTTAGGGATAAGGAAAGGGGTAGAGTTGCAAGATTGTAGAAAAATGATTAAGGGTTTTGATCAAAATAATGATGGGAAAATAGATTTTAATGAGTTTGTAGGGTTTATGTTAAAGACTTTTAATTGAAATATATATTTCATTTTTTTATGAAGATTTGTGGAGAGGTTTCCCTTTATTTGTTGCTTATTTGAGTATGATTCTATAGCTACTAATGGTTATGGTTTTCGAAAATCGGAAATTTAAACTCCTTACAAATAGGAATACAATAAAATGAAATAATATTAGACTAGAAAATTTGAATATGCTTAATATGAAGTTTGATCTAATAATAAAATTTATTACCATTCACACTAGATAAAATAGTAAAAATACTATTCTTTGAACTTGTGTGATGCTATGATAATGAATAAATTTCCTCATCGATTACTCCATCCATTTCAAAGTATGTAACATTTAACTTTTACACTAGGTATTTACATAAACCACTTTGACCCCATTTTTATGCTTTGTACATTAGATTATGCATACTCTGTATAATTTATGACTAACTAGCACTATCTAAACGGTTTGACAGTTTGGGTTTGGTTCGATATTAAATCGAGTCGGTTTGAAATCGGTTTAACTGTCTCGTGGGTCGGTTCCAGTTCGGTTTAAATAGTTATTGGTTCGATTCGGTTTTGGTTTATTCTTGAGCGGTTTAAATTCGGTTAGGGTTAGTTGTAAACAGTCCGGGTAGTAAACGGTTCGGTGCAGACGCGTTGAAGTTTGTTAACGGTTCGGTGTAAACGGTTTTTATCCCGGTTCAAACAGTTTCGGTTGGAAACGGTTTCGGGTTATAAACAGTTCAGTTCTTTTTCGGTTCAATTTATAAATAGTTCGGTTCTTTTTCAGTTCAGTTTATAATTGGTTCAGTTCTTTTTCGGTTCAGTTTATAACTAATTTGATTCTTTTTCTGTTCAGTTTATGGCATGAGGATTTTTAGTGGCAGGAAGATATTATATACTACGATAATAAATTTTCAATAAATAATAATTTAATTTGACAGGAAGAATTTTTGTACTTTGATAATTAAATTTCATTTAAAACACCTTTTAAATTGATTTTAATATTCTCTTATAGTAAGCAGTTTGTAGCCGATTCGTTTATAAGCGGCCTGGTTCATAAACGATTCAGTTTGCAAGCGGTTCGGTTTATATACAATTCGGTGCAAACGGGTTGCGCGTTGTTAACGGTTCGGTGTAAACGGTTTTTATCCATGTTCAAATGGTTTCGGGTTGAAAGTGGTTTCGGGTTAGAAACAGTTCGATTCTTTTTTGGTTCGGTTTGATTTCAGTTCGGTTTAGAACTGGTTCGGTTCATTAACGGGTTCAGTTCTTATACGATGTAACGTTATTCGATCGGTTCGGTTTCGGGTTCAACATTTAACATCATACTAGAAATGTCTGAAATTACCCGACTCGATAAGTCGACTTAACTAGCAATGACTTTTTTTTTTTTTTTGAAAGGAACTAGCAATGACTTGAACTTAACTTATACTCGAACAATTATGATGGATGATAGCGTTGATCGTCTGAGCCATAAGAGAAATCGTAATCAACCTATTATTAACCATCAACCAATTTAACCTAATATTCTTTGAACTAAACACAAACTAGCACCGGTTTGATATTAACCGCAATCTATATATCTCTCTGGACTAAACGACAATTAGAACCCAAACTAATACCTAGCCCAACTAGAATCCGAAATCGATCATGGCCATACACAACTTGCTATTGTCATCCTAACTTATGGTGCCTATAATTTAATTTTATCCAACTCATTGTTGATCAAACATGAAACTAACACGTAAATATATATAATCATCAAATTCAATCCGAACTATTGTTACTCGACCCTAAACAAGTGAAACTAAAAATAATTAACCTTGAAATACTACAATTAACGACTAATTTTTCTTTTATAAAATTTTTAATTAATATTCGGTAGAATTTTATTTTATTTTATTTTGTGTGTGTGTGTTGGGTGATGAGAATCGATCCTAGGATCACTTGGAACCGAGAGAGGAGCTCTGACCAATTGAGCTATCCCTCACTCTCTGTTTTTTTTTTTTTTTTTTTTGGAAGGGCTCTCATTTTGTTGATAGGTTCTAAATTTGGTTTAGCAAAATATTTATACCTTTTGTTTGGATCTTGTATATACCTTTGTACGCAATTCTAAAGGTTTAGTAGTCTGTTTTTTTTTTTTTGTGTTTTACCCGGTTCACCCTTTGGGCTAATTCGGATTCGGGGATCAGTTCTGGGTGGTTAGGTTCCAGTCCCCTCCCAATTGTTGTTGCGGGGGATCGAACACGGGTCCTCTCTACCAAGTGTAGTCCCAATCACCACTACACCAACAGCCAATTGGTAAAGATTTAATAATCTGTGACTCCGAAGTAATGTGTGATTGAATTTTGGAAAGAGTAGCTACACACATACTTTTAATGCTTAAAAATAACATGCTTTCTCCATTTTTTATTAAGTTGACATATTTTAACTTTCGTAATATTTACCTAAGTTACTTTCATTTCTTTTTAAGATTATAATTGAGATAAATAGTCATACCTCATACAAAATCTTGTTGGATTTGTCTAAATTATACTTTTAGAATACAAAGTTTTTAAATTTTGTCTTATTGATAGTTTAAGACATTGAAGTTTGAAATCATGTATTGTCAAACATATGTACATAAATGTGTCAATTAATGCTATTTTATGATAGACATTATAGTAGATGTTAGAAAATCATTGTTCTAATATACTCTTTTTTTTGCATTTTTACATAACATTAGGAAAAAAAATGGATAATAATATATGTAGCTCTTAGGGCTATGTATAAGCATTAAAAATATACTTCCTAAAATGGAATTAAGTTGGGAATTCATGACCAAATCACACGCAGATAAATGTTAATTTATCTTTAACACTACATTTCTTAGCTTCTTATACATAGCCCTAGGCTATGTTTATCATTTAAAAATAAATAAATAAATACTAGTCCAAACCAGTGTAATATTGGTTTTGGACATATTCTTTCAGTCCAATCCATGTGTGGTCCAAGCAAATCCGTCTAGTCTCTCTTACTTTAAATATGTGTTATTTTAAAAATATATTTCTAGCAAAAACTTTTTATACATCTTATTTACTCACAATAATATTATTGTTACAACGATGTAACTTTTGTTGAATTTAGGGTAATTTAATTTTAATTTTGTTGAATTTATGATAACTTTTACCCATAAAGCTTAAATAACTTTTATTTATATCAGGATAAACTATATATAGCGAGTAACTTTCATTATAGGGTAACATTCGATCATTTTAAGGTAATTTTGAAGCGGATGTGCAATATTTTATTTTACATCCGATTTTTTTTTTTAAATGTTTGTCTATTTCTAGAGATTGTAATTAAAATATTTGATTGTAAACTGTGTAATATATCCAAATGAGACAATCCTAATGAAACAAGAGAGTGTTTTATTTACATGATTTTTGAATATTTATTGATTGTACTAAAGTTTTGAATCTTCATGTGTGCAATACTGCACTTGTGCATACATATACTATAGATGGGTCTTGTCTCAAAAACATGATAGTCGGTCATTCATCACATGGGTAAAGATTTTTTGATTTTTTTTTTTTTTTTTTTTTGACAAGATGGGTGTAGATTATTTATTTATTTTACTTTATTAGAAAGTCATTTAATACAATTCTTGATTGCTTAAAGCTAAGATCTTAAATCTTACATAGATCATTATATCTAGAAATCTAGAATGAAATAGGAAAATTTGGTTTCTCAATACAATTTGAAGGAAACAATTATGTCCTCCCTTGTAGTAATAGCTAGCTTTGGACGTATGCTTTGCTCTTCATCAATCGCTAGTAGGTTGTTCGGCTGGCGGCAGCAACGGTGACGATGGAAGGTTAAAAGGAAATCCAGACCTAGAGTTAACGTTTGGACCCACATTTGAGCTACCATAATCCATCAATTCCACAGCAAGAAATCTTGATTTTCGTGGAGTTTCCTACAAAAATGAGTAAAATGACATTCATAACATATTTTACGTGTTAGTAATAGAAGAAATTTACAACTCTTGCTTGTCTAAAGCATACACATATAAAGTTCATGGAAACTAATCAAGTCGAAGTCAGAAAAAAAGGAAGTCATGAAGAAGTGTATGTTTTTCATTCCTAAATGTTTCTTTTCTCCCTACTTTATTTGTCCAAGTTGACTAATATTCCTTCCGTCCCCGATTGATAGTCACTTTTGCCATTTTTTGTAACTTAAAATGTTAGTCACATTTGTTTTTTAAAAGTACCATTATTATTATTTTTTTTACCAAAATTCTCTAATATGTGCGAAAATATTTGTCCAAATATAACATTCCCATATAAATTTATTTTCCTTATTTTTTTGCATGTCCAATGTAAATTTACTTTTTCAATGTACTTTATTTATTTCTCCTTAATTCCCGTAATTTTTTTAGCAAAAGTGACTATCAATCGGAGACGAAGGGAGTATCTCATATACTTCGTAATTTTTATCTAGAAATCAATAATAGTACTTATAAATTTTGATGTCATCTTAAAAGTATTTCTTTTTAACTCTTTGCTAGATCATTATCACACCTGTCTCTTTGCTAGATCATTATCACACCTGTCGTCCTGTTGTATGGAATAAATTTTATAAGAAAGAAATGATAAAAAGGAGCATGTCAACTTTTACAACATATATATTCCATACTAGAGAGGAAAATTGAGAGCCAAGTCAACGTGTCTTTTGACTTTTGGTTTATTTACATGAAGTAACATTTAATCACACCCTCTTTTAAGTTGGAATATGTCTCTAAAAAAGACATTTACGTGTCTTTTTCCTCGCAAAAGCTCCACATAGTTTCTTGAGCTTGTTCAATGAAATATCTAATGAATTGCATTTTATCATAACAAAAATAAACAATTTGAAAAACGATCATATACTACCTCCGGTCCAAATTACTCATAACTTTGGGTATTATTTGTGAGATATAAAATATTTCAAAATTACTAGTAATTTAGACCGAAGGTAGTATATTATTATAGCCCCAATGACTTGCACCTTTAGGAAAAGAAAGAAA